TTCATTTTTGTTGTGCTATTTAAGGATAGTGGCCAATGGTCAAATAAACAAATCCAGGGATGGGAATAGATTAATCCACACAAGTAAAACCCCCTACGGATCCAGTGATTGTCATAAAGACTCATACATAGTGTACTGTGGGATGCTGGCCCACAGTGGCTGAGAATGTTCCTCTTCATCCTGTCTGAATGCTGTGTTGCTGTGTTTCTCAACCTCTAACACACAACAGAACACAGATAGGCTTTTTAGAAGCAGTTGCTGGCCTGGAGAGATGGCTGACTGGTTAAGAGCGCACACAGCTTTTGCAGAGAATCCGAGTTTGATTCCCAGCACCCACATCAGATGACTCATAACTGCCTGTAACTCCAAGTCCTGGGGATCTGACACTTTCTGCTGGACTCCACAGGTACTGTACTCATGGGCAAAAAGCCACATTCAGACACACATACATACACATAGTTAAAATTTTTAAAAAGTGGGGCTGGAGAGATGGTTTAGTGGTGAACACTGACTGCTCTTGCTGAGGTCCTGGGTTCAGTTCCCAGCACTCATATGGAGACTAACAATTGTCTACAACTTCAGTTTCAGAGGATATGACGCCCTTTTCTGGCTTCTGTGGGCATTGCCTAACACAGGCGCACTTATATACATGCAGGTAATACACTCATACATAAAAAATAAAAATTAGGAGTAGTTGTATCTCCCTGAGTTTCAGATTTAGTAAATCTGGTTTGAGTCTGTCAGTTCACATTCCTAACAGGTGCCCTGGTGATCTGATGCTGATGGTTCATCCAGAACCATGTTAAGGAACAACCATGGTATTTACATGTTTGTGGATTAAGATGGATGGAGAAGACAGATGAGAGTTTTATGATCCATGAGGCAGAAACTTTCATATTTATTATGATTTATCTAATCAATCAGAAGAGCTGGTAAAGAAGTAATTTCATGGTTGACAATTTAAAATGATCTGTTTGAACCTTTTCCTTCACTCATCTATCCAATTAATGAGGTAGTGGTTAGCCTATCTGAGTCACACAGCGTTATCTAATCAAAGTTAAGTCACTAGATGTTAGAGAAGAAAGGAATCTTGATCATTATAAAACAGCAAAAGAAAGGAGTAGCTATGAAACTTGTTTTTGGCTATTTTTCATTTTAATTTTTTGGGAAAGGTCTTACAATATAGTGCTGGCTAGCCTGGAACTCATAGCAATCCTCTTGCCTCAGCCTAGAGAATATTGGAATTACAGACATGCATGACCACACCTAGATTCAGATTGACCACATCTAGCTTAAACTCTGATTTTGTTTGGACAAACCAATTGGTAGAATTTGGTAAAAAGCTTTTGGATAATGTTGGAAATAACTTTTAATTAAAGTTGGTACACTAACCACACTTATTCTTAATTTTTCCCTAAAAAGGACAGTAAAGAATCATAAAAGGTTAAATCTACAGAGGCAAAGAATATGAAGAAGGGACATCAGTAAAAGGTAGATATTTGAGCACAGTTCTGGAAGATGCGATGGGTGGCAGAGTGGAGACTGGATTAAAAGAACAGTGGACACCATACTTGGAAGGTCATCGAGGCTAGTACAGAAAAGCCTTGCCTAAAAAATGGGGTGATCTGCAATGGAGATGCTAGAGGCCACATAGGTGGACACTGACAAGTACCTCAGGATCCTGGAAGGGTAAGGGAGAGGCAAGCAGTTAAAATCTGGGTAAATACTGGCATTTGAAATTATTGGATTCCCTGCTGTTGTTAGATCTTTCCTCACTTGTCTGTAAACCTTTTATGCTCTACATATAAGACTGAGGTCATAAAAATCTCTTCCAAATCTATGGGAATGATGAGAGAGTTTGTTCACTCTCGGCCTTACTATAAGGCACTCAGGTGAAAGCTGGTTTCTTCATGGGAGTATTCTTCAAAAGTCAGAAACTAAATGTCTCTCCTTTGGACTTTTCAGTTTCTTACAAGAAATATTTTTTTGTTTTCTGTCCTGGTCCTTGTAGCCATCAGGGAGAAACAGGAGAGACACTTGTCCGTCAGCCATAGAAGGGCAGGTGTGATGGCTGTGCAGGAAGGGAGAGGGTGGGAAAGGCTGCAGAGTGGCTAGCCCAGGTCTTTTCCCAAAGTCGCTTCAAGATGCCACCTGCCAGGCTTGCAAGAGACCACAGGATATTTCTCATGATAAACCTAAGAGCTCCAGAGGGGAGACACATTGTTTCTGATACTGGAGGTGTCTTCCCATGGAAGGACTACCTTTCACCTAATCACTGCACAGCAAGCCCACCAGTGAGTAAACCTCCTCCCTATCTCCACAGAGCTGCCGGGGAGGTTCCCATGACATCATTCCTACCAGTGGATACAGAGTTTACAGACAGCCGATGAAAGCCTAGCCTTGGCAGTACCAAAACAAAGACATTTGGAAAAGGGAGACAGAGGAAGCCAAGGAAAGACAGGAAAAGAGTAGGAAAAGTCTTGTAATAAATAGATATCCTCAAAAGATAGAAAACAACTGTAGTTATGACATAGCCACAGAATGGCGTTTAAAAAGTATCAGAAAGCATTAAGAGTTCTTAAGATAGCCAAGGTGCTAAGCAGGACAGTGACAAAGTTGAAACCAGCCTGGTCTATATAGTTAGTTCCAGGCCAGTGAGGGTTACACAATGAGACTCTGCATCAAAGTAAAACAAAGCAAAACAAAACACGAAACAAAACAAAAAAAGGAAGATGTCATGTGCCATGAGAAATGAAACGTAAAGAAGGCACAAGACAGAAATGGGCTTCTCACCCGACAAATTACAGCGCCCAGGAATGACAGTGAGTGGTCCGTGAGCCAGTTCATCTCCATTGGAATGTGAGGGCGGGAATTTTGGAGGAATACTTTTAAGGGGAAAAGATGGAATTAGTTGTTTGACCACTTGGAAAATAATTTATAGTCACTTGATAGATCAGTTACAGAAAAATACCAGAATAGATTCATAATAAACTAAGTAAAAGAGGTAAAAAGGAAACAACCATAATATACCAGTGGGCTCTGTTGTCACTGAAATTTGCACAGTCACTTACTTCTTGCTTAGTCGCTGAACTGTGAAAGAACTACATTGGAAGAATGGCTGGTAATGGAGCTGGGCAGAGAAAAGAACTAACACCTTATCAAGGGCAACATGTGGTCAAATCACATGTGTGTATCGATAAGTCAAGAGATGGGTAGCAGAATACATGATTGAAAAATAGGGAGGAAATAAATCACAGAACAGCCAGCCACTGATGGAGTGTGGTCACCCCTGGAGAGGAGGAGAAAATATGGGGAATCTGAGAACCATATTATGTTAAAATATATTTTCTCAAGTACATGTGTGGGTGCTTATATTATTTTTTAGAATAAAATTGTGATAGTCATTTGCAGAGAAAGAAAATATGGAGCCAAACAAACCCAGTCTAATTCAATTCTCAGGAAGTATTTGATCCAAAGAGGTTTAAAATAGACACTGTATCAAGCCTTGTAGCTTCAGCATTAACTTGAAATAACATGTGGCAAGCTTTCCACACCCTCCTTTATTTCCATAACCCACATGTACAGGCTAGACCTCTGTCAGAGCTCCCACAAATACTTTGGTAGCAGCAGTTATAAATTACACCTTTGCTAATGTCCTAGTTAGCTTCTCTATTGCTGTGATAAAACACTCTGACCAAAAATAAATTGAGGAGGAAAGGGTTTATTTGGTTTACAGGACCCATCACAGTTCATCACTGAGAGAAGCCAGGGCAGGTACCTAGAGGCAAGAACTCAAGCACAGACCACAGAGGAACACTGCTGGCTTGGTCCCTCTGGCCTGTGCTCAGCTTGCTTTCTTACACAACCCAGGACCACCTGCTCAGGGTTGGCACTGCCCACAATGGCTCGGGCCCTTCCCACATCACTCAACAATCAAGAAAATGCCTCACAGACATGCCCACAGGCCAATCCAGTAGAGGAAATTCCCCAAGCTGAGTTTCCCTGTTGCCGGGTGTGTCAAGTTGACAACGGAAGCTATCCAGCACAGTTAATTCCAATTGTTCCCAATCAGGAGAAATGGAACCACTCAAAGTCAGTTTCATCCTGCATTGTTCCCCTGGCGACCATATTAAACTGCAGGGATAATGCACCTTTGTAGAAGCTTCGTCTATTGAATTACAATGTAAATGTTGATGCTTGCCTAGAAACGTCAACCGCCAACAAGCTTATGGCACAGGCAGAGAAGCAGTGGGGTTGTGGGTAGCTCAGGAATCCCAGGCTGCAGAGATGGAAGAGGTGCACCCGGGCCATCTTAAGTGTCTAGTCAACCGAATCTCCTTTCTCCATCAAAGCTTCGCCGCACTTCACCAGTCCTGTTCGGGAAGGGTTGCTCGCCTATTTGAAAAACTGAACGACCTGCTATCTTCTACGCATCGAGGCGCGAAAAGAGTTTGTTGGGGATAAGAATGCTAAAAATGCAATTACGCAATAGAGCCGGCAATCTGTGTTTCTTTCCTGCTCTCGGCACAACGTAACTTGAGTCCCTTACTCTTCTGCCCCTGTCACACAGTTCTCTTCCAGCAGGTAGTAAGTGCCTGGTGGTGTGCAGCGCATTTGATTCCGGGTGGCTTGTAGATTTCTGGGTTCAAGCGCTTGTCCTTCTGCTTGACCCACAATGCCTAGTGTTTGCAGGTGGTGCTCCCCCCTCCCCCGATCCGTCTCTTCCATCAGCTCCCCTTCCCTCCCACCCCTCACCCCCAGCTTCAGGGAAGAAGGTTTTTTTTTAAAAAAAAAGTAGGTAGAAGTCTGCTCGGAGCATTGTCCTCAGGCTGCCGCAGCCGCCAGCGTGCCAGCGCTCCACTCGGGTAAACTTCGCAGTGAGTTACCTGCACTCGGAAGAAGGGCCTTACCTGAGCGCGCCTCTGCCAATGGCAGCTCACCTGAGGGAGCTCGGCAGCCAATCACCGCGCAGCTCGTCCCTCGGGCTTGTACCCTTTAGTGAAAGAATTCAGCTTCTAGCGAGAAAGTTACCTGTGGCCGCCCAAGTCCGCCACTTTCCGCTCTGTGTCTGCCCATTGCCACGATCCAGCAGGACTCCGCGCCGCCCGGCCGCCTCCGAGCGCGGGCCCCATGTGAGGGCCCCCCCTTATCCCACCTTTCCGGCTAGGTGAGGGCGCGAGCGAGCGGGCGAGCGAGAGTGGTGAGGGGGGACGAAAAGCAGAATTACCTGTAGCTCTTGTTCTGCCATCTCGGGCGCTCTCACACACCTTCACCTGCACAGACTTGAAAGTCCAGTTTCACCAGAAGGCTGAGGCTCCAGGAAAAGGGGAGCGAGTTCATTGGATCAAACATGTCACAAGAGTCGGACAAGTAAGTGGATCACACGCGCCGGCTGCTGCTGCTACCACTTGGGGCTGATGGCAACTGGTTTGTTATGTATTTTTTTGTTTTTGTTTTTGTTTTTTGGTATTATTTTCTTTTTCCTTTTTTCTTTTTGGTGGATCCAAACCTCGGATTATGTTTCTTCCCTGATTCAGGGGAGAAGCCCCTACAAGAACGTGAATGTTTAATATCCCCTTTGGGCCTTGCTTAGTAAAAGTAGGTTTTCCTCCTTCCTTTCCTCCCCGGCGAATGACTTTAGCTCCCTCTGCCCCGACGGGACGAATCCTTGGGTCCTGACTATGGCTTTGGAAGATGGGGGTGGGAGGCCTGGTGTTCCCCCCTCTCCTCAAGGTGCTCCCCAGCATCACACTTCCTGGGTCATTTGGAAGTTCAGCCGAGATCCTTCGATTAGGCCAAAGGGCCTGCAGGAAAAGCGGGTTTTGGCCGCTTTTGTGTGCGCGCAACAAAGGGCTTTTATGCGGATGCAGAAACGGCCATCTTCCGAGCTGTGACCGACCGGGGTGCGTGTGCGATCCCTCGTGGGCCTCCCACGGGAGCTAGGCGTGGGCAGGCCGCGGTGCGGGCCCCGTGGTGTCCGGGTTCCCCGCCCTCCCCAGGCTCCTGCCCACGGGGCCTGGACCCTCCTGCGGGCTCCCCCATTGTTCGGTGACCGGACAGGTGGGGGCAGGGGCCGCTCATTAGTGGGGGCACAGATTTTGAGGCCACGTGCGAAGGGGCGCCCACTCCTGGCCGGTTCTCCGCGCCCCGACGTCGCCGGCTCGACCGCGCCTGGGGACCGCGCAGCCACAGAGCTGAGGCCGCCACCTCGGGCGTGGTGGGGCGCGCCGGGCCTTCTCGGGGGCTCTGGGCGAAAAAGCGGGGAGCCTGGGGGGCTAGGACTCGGGCCTCTGGGCGTTCGGGACCCGGGTCTACCACGGCCCTGGAGCGGCGGCCTGAGCGCGGGGCTTGCGGCCTGGTCTGGTCGCGGTCGGGAGGCCTTGCAGCCGTCCGGTCCCCGCCTTTGGGACGGCTTTGTGCGAGCCGGGGGAGGTGGGGCCAATGCGGGAGGGAGCCGGAGGTGGGTCCCGCCACCCTCCTTCCATTCGGTGGCCTCACTTCCTTCCCCCTCCTCTCGTGGCGTCCCGGGAACTGGCCGTGTCCCTTTGGAAGTTCTCCGAGGCCACGTTTTTGCTTTTCCTGGTAACTTTACCCTGGTGGTGTGGCCATTCCACGGAGAGTGTTTCCTCCTGGGCTAGGCCCGGAGGAGAGGTGGCTGGGACCAGTCTCAAGTTGCGGGACCTGGAGGGAGGCCGGCTTTGATGACCAGGGTCAAGGGCGGAGGGGAAGGACCAGACTCTCAAATAAGGCCGAGGTGTGATGATCCTAAGAACATACAGTGTCATACTTAAAACTACCACAGTGGTCACCAATCAAGATTTAACTGCGCCCTAGGTACCGGAGGGGAAGAACTAGTGTTAGGAAGTCAGAAGACTTTGGGATTGGGACGTGATTGTAGGAGGTTCCCCCTTAGCCCTCAGATCTTTCAGTAGTCAAGAAGTCATCAGTACCCAAGTTTGAAAACTGAAGTACCAAAATCCCAGGCGACAAGTTTTTTGTTTGTTTGTGGTGTTTGTTTTTTATTCAGGTTTGAGCTTGGTGTCAAAAAATGGTTGCAAATTTACTTTAAGCATACAATTAACATTTAGATTGACTGCTTAGTACTGTGGTGCTACATGACTCCAACAAATTAAGAATGAAAATGGATGGGTATTTATTTTCACCAAGGTATACTTAGCACCAATAGGGATAATTTATTCACTATTGAAAATAAGTACTGAGTACTAACAATCTGGTTTAAGGACTATGTATTACCTGGTTTTTATGGCTAATGTCTATCTAGGATTATGGGTACAGTTAATGAAAGCAGCTTTTATCTCCTGGCGGTTTCCAGGGTTTCATTTTGTGTCCTGGGAAAAGTAACTAACAATACTGCAAGAGTCCCCACAATCGGGCCTCTTTCGCTTTCTCTGCTTGAACGGCCAAGAGACATTTGAAGTAATACTTGACTTTTGGATGACTTTTGCTAATCATAAGATTACTTTTCTTAATACTAATATTCTACTAGGGGCTCTCAGGGAAAGGTTGGGGTTTACTGGCCTGAAGCTTATATAATTGTATGCACTTGATGGGGTATGGATTCCAAGAGAAAATGGTCACCTGAGCAAGAGCGGCCCTAAAGCTGACTTCCCTGGCTTCCGGGTAAGTCGCAGATGGAGGCCTGCCTGTATTTTCTGGAAACACTCAGGAGTACAGATTTATGAATTAAATTCCACAATCCCAATTAGACACAGGTAATCTTTTTAGATCTCATAGGAAAGGTTTTTCTGGTTAGGAAGTTTGCCCTGAACAAGCACCACCATACTTTAAATTTTCATTCGTTTTTTTGTTTATTGTTATGTGTGTGTGGGGGGGTGGGGGTGGGAGGCACACTGCCAGTGCTCTCCTTGGAGATCAGAGGATAACTTGCCAGAGTTAGTTCTCTCCTTCTGCCATGTGGGTCCTGGGAATGAAACTCAGTTTGCCAGTCTTGACCGTAAGCATCTTTACCCCCTGAGACATCCAAACAGCCCAGCATCTTCTTTTCTATGGTGGACTTTTCAGATTGAGGTGTTCTACAGTGTTGATATGTTCATTAAAACAAGGATTTAGGACATTTTGTCTTCGTATTTATTTAAAAATGTCCTCCTATCTTACCCTTTATGAAGGTTGATGATCTTTGTCAACAAGTATGTGTATGAGCAAGGCTATGTTAGAGTAAAGAACTCCAAAATGTATGAAATACATCCAGAGGATGTACACATGTACACATGTGACAGTTGATTCCAAAGAGATATTTTCCATCAGGTCAGCATGCTTTCTGATTATGTAGTACTTGACAGCATATTCAGACAAGCATTATAAGAAGAGGCAAAGATGTATAAAATGGGCTGTGTTCTTAAGGGGCTGACACTAAGTAGAAAACAAACTGTAGATAGACATAACTCTAAGAGTACCTGGCAGGTGCCTAAGTTACAACAATTATAATAGTTTCAAACAAAGTTTTTTTTTTTGTTTTTTTTTTTTTGTCTTTTTTAGACAGAGTCTCTCTGTAGCCCCAGCTGACCTGGAACTCACGATGTAGACCAGGCTGGCCTTGAATTCACAGAGATCTGCCAGCCTCTGCCTCCTGAGTCCTGATTAAACGTGTGTGCCACCACACCTGGCTCAAGCAAAACTTTAAAATATAGCTCTTGATTTTGAAAACTTTAGATTGTGTGATTTTTCTTAAGGAGCTCTGCCCCTTTTCAGAAAATGTTTAAAGTTACAGGCATCTCAAGTGGGTAAACTTTCAGGTAGTTGGATGACTAAATGCATTTAGTTAAACTTTCTACTTATTTTATATATATATGCTTTCCCATTTGGCCAGTAAAATATCTTTTAAGGTCACAAATGTTAATAATTCACCATAGCTCCTCCATATCCAGACAAATACCCATTCATTTCTTTTCATCACAAGTATGTCTTGAGGGCCCCTGTATACTGGACACTGATGTAGGCATTAAGATTCACTGGTGAGCCCTTAGGGTGCTTACATGTTTAGTGTGTGTTGGGGGAAGAGAGTTAACCAAATGAGATATAAATGTATAAAAAATTAGGTGATGACAGCTGCTGTGTAGAAAGCAAAGCAGGCTAGAAGGATGAAGATTCGGGAGCGTCTATTATATGGTCAGACACAGCCTCTCTGATAAGATGTTCTAGGAAGGAAGAGCTAAAGGAAGTGATCCCTGAAGATACCTGGGATAGAAGTGTTCCAGGCTAATGGAAGAGTAAGTGCAAAGCCCCGAGGCGAGCATGCTTAGCATGTGCTGGTACCAGAGAGACCAGTGTGGGCGAATGAGAGATAATAGCACCATCAAATTATCAACATAGTCCATTTATTAATCCAGGCAACTAGACTTCATGAAGAAATAACACCCAGTGAGTAAAGAACCAACTGATAGCATCAGTCCTGGTGCCTCCCCAAGTATTGCTTGCTTAGTGCTGAGGGTATAGTGTTTTACTGCTGGGATTATAGCTGTGCATTACTGTGCCCTACTGTGGGTTAAATCCTGTGTACTTGGTGCATGTGTAAATAAATGCATGCATACTGGAAGACCCATGGGTTAGGGCTGAAGCAGAGGGCCAGAGTACACGTAGTGTTTTCTCTGATACTCCCATGTCTCTCAAATAATTAATTTGGCCTACCAGAGTTTTGCAACCCTAACATTAGCTGTTGCCAAATGAAGTTGCTATTTTTGCATTCCTCTTCATCTCCTTCAACTTCTGCAAATTGCAAACACCAGAAAACATGGGCTTATCAAATGTGTCTGGAAGAAACCCTGCGGGAGTACTTTGATTGGTGTCCCATTACCCACCAAGTGAACCAACTGAAATAAGAAAAAAGTAATAATAAAAAACTGGACAACACTTCCAAATCTGGTCTAAAAACAGATAAATGAAAGTTTGTGCTTAATAGTAGGAGTCCACATAGGAATTCTTTATACCATTGCCTCCCAAAGTTGTCTGCTTGTTAAGACAAACAAACAAAGACAACCACTCAAGGTAATTGACAGTAGCCTCAAGGCCTTTTAAGGTATGGAATCAGTTTCTCTAGAAGGTCCAAGAATCTGTATTTAAGCATTGACCCAGCCATTACTTGATTGGTTAATTATAAAATTAATCGTTTCAGTGAATACTTACCCTGCTGCACATGGAATGTCTAAGGAACTTTTCAGATCCGCACCTTAGGCTACCTCTGGCTAAGCAGCTTCTAATATGGTTTTAACTTGGATGCAAGAATTCCTAGGCCTCTTCCCAAAGTTGTTTGCTTTCATTGTTTTGCTAAACTGTGGCTTCTGGTAAAGTGCAGTCATTTTGACAGCTCCTCTGTTTACCTAAGTGTTAGAGAC